TGCTGCTGAAAGAGACACGCATCCCGGAAAGAGACATGCATCGCTGAGTGAGACACCGAGGGACCAGCACTGCTGAGAAAGAGACTGTGAGAGACTGTTGGCTGAGGGATGGTGGGCTGAGAGAGAGACTGAGCATTCTTCCTGAACTTGAGTTGTAGCCTGGTGCTTCCCTAATAAACTCCATGATCTGTGAGTTCTGTGTGGCCACTGCAGTGAATCATCGAACCCAGAGGAGAGGTGGTGGGTGCTTTGGGAGGAACGGTTGAAGAAAGGGCTGGAGGGAGGCAGCATGTCTGGCCTTGTAGAAATAGGCCTTTGGTTACTGCTGGTAATTCTGTCTTCCTCTTGGTTGCTATTGTTGTAAAATTATATAAAACACAACATTTGCCATTTTGCTCTTTTTCTGGTGTATAATTGAGTGGTATTAGTTGCATTAAAGTCATGTAACCATTGCCCTTAATCTGTGCCAATTTTCCCATAACCCCAGCCATGAACTCATCACTTCTCAGATAATAATTCCTTTTCTTCCTTGCTGCTCCTGCCACAGGTAACTCTAACAATAGTTGTCTATATAGTTGTTGTTATTAGGTGCTGTCGAGTCATCTCTGACTCATAGGGACCCTATGCACAGCAGAATGAAACACCGCCCAGTCCTGCGCCAGCTCCATGATTCTCGCTATACTTGAGCCCATCGTCACTGCCACTATATATATATATATATATATATATATATATATAGGATATTAGACCCTTATTGGATATATGGTTCCCAAAGATTTGTTCCCCTATCTGTAGGATGTCTTTCTAATCTTTTGATTCTATCCTTTGATGAACATAAGTACTTAATTTTTACCAGATCCTAAGAACCTATTTTTGTCTTCTATTGCTAGTGGATTTGCTGTTGAATTTGATAATTTATCATTGAAAAAAAAAGTCCCATAGTTTTGCCTTTATATTTTTTTCCAAGAACTTTATGTCTTTACACTTAACATTTAGGTCCTTGATCTATTTTGAATTATTTTTTGTGTATAGTGTGAGGTATGAATCTTGCTTCATTTTCTTTTGCATGTGGAAATCCAATTTTCCCAGCACCATTTGCTGAAGAGACTGTTCTTTCCCCATTGAAATCCCTTGTAAATCAGTTGGCCATAGATGCATGGCTTTATTCCTGGGCTCTCAATTCTATTCCGTTGATCTATGCATCAATTCTTGTTTATATCTTCTATTTCTTTCCTTAGACTTTTTATTTCTTTGCTGAGACTTTCTATTTTTTATTTGTTTCAAGCATGGTCATAATAGTTCATTAAAGCATTTTTAGGATGTTTGCTTTAAAATCTTTGCCAGATAACTGTAACATTTCTGTCACCTCAGTATTGGCATCTATTTATTGTCTTTTTTCATTTACTCAAGTTGAGATTTTCCTGGTTCTTGATATGAAGAATGATTTTTGTTTGAAACCTGGGTATTTCAGGTAGTATGCTATGTGACTCTGCATCTTATTTAAACCTTCTATTTTAAACAGCTTATTCTGACAACGCTTCCAACAAGGAGAGGGGAGCACTACCTTATTATTAGCTGGTGAGGTAGAAGTCTAGGCTCCCTTCTCAGCCTCAGTTGACACCTGAAGCAGGAAGGGCTCCTCATTATTGCTGGGCAGGCAAGGGTGGTTGTTGTAGCTCCTTACTAAGCCTCCACTGATGCCATTCTGGCAGGAAGATGGAGGAATGCCTTGTTCCTGCTCCCCACATGGCCTCTACTGACATACATGGTGGTGCTGGTTGTGTGTGTTGCATCATTACCAGTGGGTAGTGGTAAATGTCCTGACTGTCCACTAGGCCTCCCCTGATACCACTCCAGCAGGAAGTAGAAGGGACATTTCATTACTGCTGATTGGGGAGGAAAGTCTGGACTCTCTACTATGTCTTTTATGACCCCACCTTAGTTGGAAGGTTTGGGGTCCTTATTACAGCCAGGTGAAGGCAGAAATTTAGGCTTTCCACTCAGCTTTTGCTGACATGTGTAGGTGTGAGGTCACAGTTCTTTTCTGTGGTGTGTATCTGGAATATAACAGCTATTGTTTAAAAGTTTTTTGTGTTGCTAGGCTTCCCCTTTCCTGGACTTGTAGCTAGAGAGAGCAGGCTTTTGTTGGGGCTTTTTATGTCTGCACTCATTATTGCTTTGAATTTCTGGCTCATTCAGCTCCAAGTGTGGGATATACTTGGCAAAAAAGAAAACCTAGTGAACTCACCATCATGTTGTTGTTTGGGTTCTGATGTCCCTACCTGACCTACCTTCTTTTTTCTACCTCTTCTGAGTTGTCTTATGTTTGTTTTGTATAATGTCCAGGGTTTTTAGTTATACTTAGCAGGAAGAATAGGAAAAAGTATGTTTATTTCATCTTCCCCAAAGTGGAATATCTCTTCCTTTTATAGATGAAAAAATTGAGGCTCAAAACACAGGCGAGAACATGCCTGAGACCACTTAATTAATAGGGCCTGGCGTATGGCCAAGGTAGCCCTGGTGGCACCGTGGTTCAAGTGTTTGGCTGTTAACCAGAGGGTCAAGAGTTCAAATCCACCAGCCACTCCATGGGAGAAAGACGTGGCAGTCTACTTCCATATAGATGTATATCCTTGGAAACCTTAAAGGGCAGTTCTATTCTGTCCTATAGGGTTCACCATGAGTCAGAATCAACTTGATGGCAGTGAGTTTGGTTTTGGTTGCCATACTCTCTGTAATTATTGACTATTTTGTCTCCTCCCTCAAAATTGATTATTTTAAAAGCAACAGGAACTGTATTTTGTTTGTTAAAGTATTAAAGTTATTTTTGTATCTGCTAAAGTACCCAATTCAGTTCTTCGCACCCAGTAATTGTAATTTATTGAAGCTTACGACATGACAGGCCCTGGCCTGAATGCTTTATATACAATATTTCACTTAATTCTCACCAGACCCTTGCAAACAAACATTATCATTCCCATTTTACATATAAGAAAACTCTTATGTGCAAGAGGCTTACAAAGATAAAATAATTTACCTAAGTTCATACAGATCACAAGTGTCAGAGCAGCTACCTGCCCACTGTGATAGCAAGCCTTTTTTTTTTTTTTTTTGTAAGCTCCCAATAAATCCATACCTACTGAAAGACAGTCCCAGGGGAGATTAGCAAAAATTAGCTAGAGAGTTGGTTGAGAAATCAGGCTGGAACTTGGGATTTTAGTTTAGTATGTAAAGCTTTAGGTGGTAAGACTCTCAGAGGAAATGAAAGATACCACCAAAAGTAAGTTTTGATATTTTAATAAGTCCTTTAGTTGTGGTCTTGTCATTGCAGGAAAATATTTTTTTTTTTTTTGCAGATTTGACTCTAATGTTTAGCAACGTAAAATATAGTAGGTGAGTCTATGAGTGCTATTATTGTTAAAAGAACATAAAGTAATTTTTAAAAGAGTCAAATCATAAGTGGAACTGTGGATCATCGTTCCTAGGACACTTATCTAGTCTTAAAGGAAAAGAGAATGATGAAAATTTTCAGTATCTCAACTTAAATCAGTGATAGATGATTTCTGAAGAGGGAGATGCTTAGTCCCTGAGGAGACAGCCTATCCACACATCACATAAATTTTCCAAAAATAAATCCCTGAAGTTTCAGATATATCACAATGGATCACAGGAGCAACTACAGGAAGGGGTCCATTTCTAGTTGCTTTATTTATGTCTTCTTCAGGGGTTCAGAGACTCTGATCCTACCTGAACAATTCCAGCCAGAAAAGTTGTGGATGCCACCACACTCAATGATTTATTATAGGCCATAAAGAAGGAGGGGTCAGAAAAGTCATCCTTGATGAAAGTTCCTAATACCAGATGTCCACTGTTGAATGGTCTCACCTTCAGTACATTGATCATCAGAGCACTCACAAGGAAGAAGGAACCTAAGAAAGAAGCAGAATGTATAGGCAGAGGTGAGATTTTAAGTCCAGGTAAACTGACAAATAATGACAAAAGAAAGGCATGGTCTGATTTTATATTGTCCTTGTTCTAAAGAACTTCTCTTATTTGAAAGTGGCCATTGAGAGGAAAGAGCAAGAGAGAGCAAGGAAAAGAACTCTGGCTTCACATATTGTGACCAACTCATAGACTTTAGATCTTGGTGGTCCAGGTACTAATGTATTATGGGCATGTGGAGTGGGATTCAAAGAGAAAGTGACTGGAATGGGGATCAGGCTCAGCCACTGTGAAAAATGAGATGGTAGTGAAAGTATCAGAAAACAAAGCTAAACAATAATCATAACAAAAATAATACCTAACATTCATGAAGGGTTTACTATCATCAGTAAGATTACACTAGCTAAATCTGTTCCAAATATTATTTCAATTAATCCTAATATTGACATATACACATCTAACATGTATACCATATAACTGTCATTTCTCATTAAAAAGCTGCAGGTGGACTTTTGACTCAGGGAAAGAATGTGTTCATTCTATGGACTTGAGTGCTTTGATTGATATAATAGCATTTTCTCATTATAAATTAATAAACTGACATGCTGTATTTTAAATCAGCCCCAACAGAGTTTGGTTATTATGAGTCTAGCTGAAAGAGGGATCCACTCTAGGACCTAGGAAGTTTCTGGATCTGCTATTGAGGTGAGTCAGATTTAAAAAAAATAATAAAAAGAAACAAACTTTGTTTGTGTGTGTGATTTGGGTGAAGGTTTACAGAGTAAATTCTTTTTCCATTCAACAGTTCATACACATTTTATTTCATGACATTGATTACAGTATAACAGCTCTCTTCCTACTTTGTCCCTGTGGTTACCTTTTCTCCATGTCCTTCTTTCCTATAAATTCCTGCCTTTTGAGCTTTCTCCTTGTGCAAATGCTGACCTTCTGATCTCCCTCCCATACTTGATTGTTCTAAGGAGCATACCTACCTGATGGAACTGTTTGGCTGAAAATTAAGCTACAGGAGTAAGTTCAATTACAGGCCCCAAAGTAGCTAGGACCCATAGTCTCAGGGGTTTCATAGTCTATGAGACCAGTAAACCTAGTCCTTTTATGATTTTAAATTTTGTTCCACATTTTTCTCCCACTCTATCCAGGATCTCCAATTCTGATCCTTTTCTGAGTGACTGACAGTGGTAGCCGGGCACGATATAGTCCTTCTGCTCTTAGAGTCATGTAGGCTGAGATTCGCATGGTCCACTAGTCCCTTGGACTAATTGTTTCCACGTATCTTTGATTTTCTTCACCCTTTGCTCCAGATGAGGGGAGACCAATAGTTACACCTTAGACAGCCACTCACAAGCTTCTAAGACCCCAGTTGCTACTTACCAAAGTAGGATGTAGAATGATGTTTTTGTGTACTATGTTATGCCAATTGAGCTTGAAGTTCCCTGTGACTATGGTCCCAAGCCCACAAGCCCAGTGTCTCACTCCCTGAAGGTGTCTGATTGTGGCTAAGAAATTGTCATAATTTTGGAGGGCAGTCAGAATTCAATCTGGTCATTTCACCAGCTACCTCCTCCCTTTAATTCCTTTGGGAAATACGTTGCTTGTTTTTCTGGTGGTTACATCAGCAGTGACATACTAAATGAAGTATTTAATTCCTACAATCTTAACACTAACCCTATGGATGTAATGCTCATCTTCTGCCTCCCTTCTTTCCATCTTAAAGATAACTTTCAATTGGATTCCTTAGCAGTAAGTAAGTGAGGTGGAAACTTCATCTACCTTCTGTGGTTCTAATACTGAACTCACCAATAGACATTTGATGACATGATCCAAAAATTACATAAATTACTGAAGAACAGAAAGCTGCATAAGAGATATTGAGAGGAGGAATCAGTTGCCTTGCCAGCAAACTAAACATCAGGGCTGAAAAGCAAGATAATTGAAGTAAGCAAGGGTACCTTGGCTTTTAAAAGTCACCTTAAATAAAAACAGTTAAGGAATATTTTAAATAAAAATCATCTGTGTATATAGCTGAGTATGGGTAATAATATCCCTTGACAGATAGCCCTTAATTAGTACCTTTAATTACCTCCTTTGATTCCTAGGATTCTTTTCTTATTTTACCAACCATTCTTTTACACCTCAATTCTGTATCATAGGCTGAAATATCTTTCATGGCGCCTTAATGCTAATCATGGATAGCAAACATCATAGCAATAAGACCTTTAATTCCAACAGCTCAGCAGCAGGGTTTCCCTTCCCCCAGTCCAGCAAAAGCAAGCCCTGGGAATCTTCCAGGGCTGCAGACAAAGCTGAAGAGCAAAGCAAGAAGCACACTTTGACTCAGAGTTGGTGTGTTGTCTCCTTCCATGTGCCAATCACTCCATTCTTTTCCTTAAGCTCCTTCAATACCTTTCTTTTCCAGGAAGCACCACAAGAATTTGGAAATTTTGAAGCAACTGGTTTAAGATGGTGTCATCCTTTTGATGTTTTAAGTCCATATCTCCTATCCTGAGCACCTCTCCTCAACTTACATCATGTTAATATGATCATTTGAATTCAATTATGAGTCCAATTATCAGGTTTATTGTCTTAGACAGCAAGACTCTTTACTTTTTTTTTTTTAAGTTTTTATTATGGAAAATATCAAAAATATATAAAAATTGAAAATAATGAACTCCCATGTATGTACCTGTCACTCACTCAATAATGGTCAACTCATGGCCACTCCTGTTTCATCCATGCCCCAATTTCTCTCTCACTCCCTATTATTTTGAAGCAAATCCCATATATTAAATTATTTCCTCTATAGATATTTCAGTATGTATTCCTAAAAGGCGACTCTCTTATATTTACAACAATACCATCACCACACCTAAGAAGTTAATAATGGTTCTTTAACATTATCAAATATCCAATGTTCAAATTTCCCTGATTATCTTATAAATGGCTATTGTTGGGTAGGGTCTCTAAGATGACCCCCAATGATTCCTGTCAACTGGTATTCATTCCCTTGTGTAATCCTCTCCCCTGAAGTATGGGCTAGACTTAGTAAATTGCTCCTAATGAACAAAATACAACAAAAATAATAGGATGTCACTTTTAACATTTGGTTGCAAAAACACCATGGCTCCTGCCTTGGTTGCTTCCTGGCTCTCTCTTTCTCATTTAGGTCATCAGCTGCTAGAGCTGGTTTTATGTATGTGCAACATGTACAGTCACACAGAGACCAGGACTTATAAGTGACCCACACTTAGAAGGACCCAACACTTGGTTTAATGTATATTGTCACTATTTTGAAATTCTAAATAATTCTGAATAAGAGGCCCCACATTTTCATTTTGCATTGGACCTCACATATACTGTAGTCAGTTCTGCCAATTGCCATGTCCTGAACACCCTCAAGCAGCCTATGGAGACGCCCACATAGTGAGAAACCCAGGCCTGCCAGCAACCATGTGAATGAGCTTGGAAGTAGATCTGAGTTCTGTCAACAGCCACCTGAGTGAGCTTGAAAGCAGATTCTCCAGCCTCAACAGAACCTTGAAATGATTTCATGACTGTGACCTCATGAGACCCTAAGCCAGAGGTACGGCAGGGCTTGGGATGATCTTTAAAAAGAAATTATTTGCTATTACGTGGTGTGCTTTGCTTTATAATCTATGTTTAAATAGGGACCAAATAAGGTCTTCACATCGCAATTGGTTGATATGTCTCTTAAGTCTCTTGTAATCTTAAACCTCCTCTGCATATTTTTTTCCCCAAACAAGCCTCTACTGATTGTAAGAAACAGAAAGACTGCTCAAATCAACTTAAACTAAATAGGAATTATGAAAAGGGTACAAACTGAAGTAGAGCTCAGAAGGAACTAGAGCCAGAACTGAAAGCCAACAAGATCCAAAGTGGTTATTTTCCCATTCTCTGTCTGCATGGTCTCCTGTCTTTGTTTCCAGTTTGGGACTACTGTAAACAATACTGCTATGAATATTCCTGTGCATGTCTCCTGGTGCAGAGATGCACAAATTTCTTGAGTTTATATACCCTGAAGTGTAACTGTTGGGGCTTTTCCTGGATAATACCAAACTGTTTTCCAAATGGTTGTATAATTTATATTTCCAACAGCATTGTATGATAGTTTCTAATGTCCAAATGTGCTAGCACATGATACTGTCAGATTTTTAATTTTAGTGTATATGGTGGTAACTCATTTTACTTTCAATCTTCACATCATTGATCATTAATAATATTGAACACCCTTATGAAGTTCTTTCCTTACAGATTTGTAGGAATTTATTACTGATAGAAGTCTTTTATAGGCTCTATACATTACAAATATATTATTTTTAGTCCTTCAATCTCTAGTAGTTTCTCAGTCTTTACTTATATGGTGAAATGAGTTCCTTTACACGGCTTTTTGCCTTGGTTCTTTGCAAAAACAGTTTGAGGACTTTCTATCCCAAAACCCTGATGAGTTAACTTTGCCCTAGTTTCTACCCCAGAGGGTTTGTTACTTTTGTCTATTGTCCATATTAATTGACATTTCCTGGGTAAATTGTAAACAACTTGACTTTTTGTCTAGTCCTGCAGCCTGCCCTGTGAATGGCATGTACCCTGCAGGGACTGGATTGTAGCCAGATATGTGTGTGTGTGTGTGTATATATACACACATATATATATGTGTATACACACACACACACACACA